GGTCTACAAAGTTACTGATTTGGGAACAAACACAACAGATTCTTTTTTAAAACCCAAACAGGTAGTTGTACCTTAAAATGAATAATCCAAGTGACCTGAATTACCACGTACCAATTACCATTACTTTGTCAAAATGTTTCAAATATATAAACAACATTTTAAAATGTTAGTGTGAAAGTCATCAATATAGCCAGTAACAGCAAGGGAACTAACAACAAGAATTCTATACATTCCTTCTGATAGAAAGGTGGAAAAATATGTAGTTCACTTTATAAAACATATGCCTGGTCCAGTAATCCTTTCAATGGAAGTAATAGACAACACAGGAAAATATCTTTTATATCAAAAAAGCAAGAAGCAGACGCGGATCCAGGCCTAAATTAGGCAGGGGTCTGGGGGCCGCCTTGAGGCCCCCAATGGGTCCAGAGCAAAGCCCTTGTGGGGATAGGGGGTTGGGGTGGGGGGGTGGAGGTAATTCTAGAGATTTTCTATGGTAAAAATGAGGTCTACCAAGTAGACATTTCTACATTTTCCCGACGAAACTATGATTTATGCTTACTTTTTGACAATTTTAGGGGGCGCTGCCAGGTTTGCACCCCCGTCCCCCCTTTAAATCTGCCACTGAGAAGTGATATCAGAAAAAGTACCTCACTCCTTTATCTACGAAACAGTCATACTTCAAATTCAAATAAAACTGAGAATTTTCCCTAAATATTGAATGTATAAAATACCGGGTAATATAATAATAAAATGATTCTTGACAAGTAGTACACAGTGTGAGTACTTGACATTTTGATTGAGGAACTTATATAATATTTCAAAATTTCTAGATACAGGAAATAAAATTTATCACAGTTTTAAATAATTCTTCTCTTTCCCTTACAAATGCTGATACCCCTGCCTACATAACACTGTATCATATATGTAAATGTTAAAATATCCAAATGCAATGTTCTAGTGAAGCTAAGGCAATGATAATTAACAACAATGTTCAAGATAATAAGTGCACAACTAAATATTCATGGTACCGTTTGATGTGCACCATTATAAATGAGAAATAGAGCAATAAAAATAATAGACAAGGGCATATAATTACCAGTGTGTCTGCATCTAAAAATACAGCCTTCTCAAACATTGTAAGTCGCCAGCAGTGAAGCTTTGTGAAGGTCACGCTAAGGTCAGGTCGGCCTAGTAACTGAAGGTTCGCAGAGTCTCTACTATCCAGCAGATTTACATCATAAATCATGTCAAAAACTCGGGATAACTGGTTCCTACAATAGAAAATCAGCATCATCAATTTTTATTAATCTCAATCTGTGTCATATAACGGTTATATATCTGATATGTGTACATAAATTGGCGTACTCAAAGTTTAGCACAATCACTGGGTATAGAGTTGTTGGTGTAATCATGAATTAGGGCTACCGTGTCACACGTTGTATATATAAATTATATATTTCTTAGCTTCTTTGTTTTCTGCTCAAAAGCTGCTAAAATATAAAGCCCGCTTTTTAAGTACACATACAGTATATAACATAGGTAATCAGAGATTACAGAGCTCACCTCAACGTGTGTTGTCTTTAAGTAAGGCAAATTAAGTCACACAATTAACCAACAAAAAGTAAACATAGGGCTTAAAGTTACTTGCAAATGAAACCTGTATAAAAAAATTAACCTTTCCACTAATTCAGAAAATGTAGGTCAGATTCAGCATCCGAAGCCAGCCTAGTAGAATGCACCCTTAGATGTACCATCCGTGCAAGTTTGGTCATTATAGGGCTCAAAGTTACTTGGAAATGAATCCTGCACCATAAACTTTAACCTGTTTACTCGTCCAGAAAATGTAGGTCAGATTCAGCATCCGAAGCAAGTCTGGTAGTATGCATCCTAAGATGTACCATCCATGCAATTTAGTCATTATAGGGTTCATAGTACACTGTACCTTGAAAATGAAACGTTCACCAAAAACTTTAACCTGTTCACTCAACTGGAAAATGTAGGTCAGATTCAGCATCCGAAGCAAGGCTGGTAGTATGCATCCTAAGATGTATCATCCATGTAAGTTTGGTCATTATATGTCTCATAGTAACCTGGAAATGAAACCTGCACCAAAAACTTTAACCTGTTCACTCAACTGGAAAATGTATGTCAGATTCAGCATCTGAAGCAAGTCTAGTAGAATACATCCTAAGATGTACCATCCATGCAAGTTTGGTCATTATAGGGCTCAAAGTATCTTCGAAACGAAACCTTCACCAAAAACTTTAACCTGTTCACTCAACTGGAAAATGTAGGTCAATTCAGCATCCAAAGCAAGGCTGGTAGTATGCATCCTAAGATGTATCATCCATGTAAGTTTGGTCATTATATGTCTCATAGTAACTTGGAAATGAAACCTGCACCAAAAACTTTAACCTGTTCACTCAACCGGAAAATGTAGGTCAGATTCAGCATCCGAAGCAAGTCTAGTAGAATACATCCTAAGATGTACCATCCATGCAAGTTTGGTCATTATAGGGCTCAAAATATCTTTGAAATGAAACCTTCACCAAAAACTTTAACCTGTTCACTCAACCGGAAAATGTAGGTCAGATTCAGCATCCAAAGCAAGTCTAGTAGAATACATCCTAAGATGTTCCATCCATGCAAGTTTGGTCATCATAGGGCTCAAAGTATCTTCGAAATGAAACCTTCACCAAAAACTTTAACCTGTTCACTCAACCGGAAAATGTAGGTCAGATTCAGCATCCGAAGCAAGGCTGGTAGTATGCATCCTAAGATGCATCATCCATGTAAGTTTGGTCAACATAGGGCTTATAGTTACTCGGAAATGAGACCTACACCAAAAACTGCACCAAAAATGTTAACCTGCACCAAAAACATTAACCTGGTCATTCCTTTGCTGAAATTGCAGCATCTGAAACTTTGACTGGTACAATGAAACACACTAGCAACATCTTCCATGCATGTCTAATCAATATAGGACACAGAAGTACTTAAAAAGAAAACTGCTCCAAAAAACTTAACCTTAACCCGGGACGCCGACGCCGACGCCGACACCGACGCCGACGCCGAGGGTATCACATAAGCTCCCCCCAACTTCGTTGAGGTGAGCTAAAAATGAATTCAGAGACAGGAGCAAAGAAATACAGAGAGAGGTGCATCATAGAAAATAAGCCAATACATCTGTTTATTTTGAGACTCACAAATTATGAGGTTTGGGAAGGGTCGTCACCTGAGGATCCAAGTGCCAAAGGCTTAGCCTGGATGACAACCCCACTAAGATCTAGGAATTTGTGATGTCACCAAATTATACAATCCACAACAATTTTTCTTGAAGAATCCAAATTTAACAAAAGGCTCATGGGTCACAATGCTCAATTAAGTAGCTATGGGCGCCATGACCCTTATATTCAACAATTCATGACTGCATCAACCACAAATTTGGAAATTAATGAGTTTTGTGACCATCCTGTGACCTGTCTTCATCATATCACTTAGATGTACTACTTAATTTACAACAGGGTGAGAAGATTCTGATGATGGATGCATAGTTGTAAGATACACCCAATCCAAGGGCCAGAAAGTGGTTTTACCCTTGTCCTTTTTGCAACATTTTATTGTCATCTACATGGAGAGATTACAGTCTTGCCTTGCATGTGAGAGCCATCTCAAATCATTTACCGGTATCAACCAATGGGATTGGCTGTATTATTCTAAAGGTAGACCAATGACATACAGACACCTAGCATTAGTTGGCTGTTTAACTTCAAAATATCGGTGTTGTGTAAATTTGTGTTCAATATTTATTTACAATGAAAACCTCATACTTCTTAACCTTAGCATATTAAATATAAAACAAATAACTGGGGACACACCAGGGCATGCACAGGTTTTATTTTGATAACTGTGGATCTTATGATGGAGATGTTAATGATAAGATACCTGACAGGGCATTATCACATACAGACTGATAAAAAACTGACAGCTGTTGATATTACATATACACAATGAATTCACAGATGCATAGAGCCTATTCAATACATACTTGTTGTTAACTGTAGACACTTTTCTAAGGTGAACTGAAACTTTTGTGTTTTATAAACAATAATTAAAATGCTTACATGCAAAATGCAAGTATTTCATTGCATACACACTGAAAAAAGGTTGAAAAAAAATCATTTAATTGCATGTATTTATGTCTCTGTGTGTATAACAATGAAGATTTTATGTCGTTATTTTTTTCAAATTTCTGCGCAGTTCCTAGACCAAAGTTAGTCAGCTGAGAACTTTATTGCAATTTCTGCTTCTGTCAGTAAATCAATACAATATCAGACATTGGTGAGTAACAAACTGAAGGTTACTCTCAAGGTCAGATAATACTGATCAAAGACTGACAAACTGACGTCTAGGGTTGTCCTAGAATAAGTTGATTCTGAATAGTTTGAAGAAAGTAAATCCGCAAACTGTGATGTATAGAATCTAATTGTCTCATTCTAGAAATAAGAAGATTCTGGGATGTTTTTTGAAAATAAATTCTGTCCCAAATACTGTTGGATTATACTGTTTTCCTGAATTGATATGTTGAATTTGTGGGAAAACGAGTATGGAGTTGGGCATATAAAAGTATTACAAGTACTGTATACAGGGAATTTTTCGCCCCCGTTTTATTTTCACCCATTTCGCCCTAACCTCGGTTGGGCGAATTTAAAAGGGGCGAATTCAAAGAATACAGTATACTTTCTAAAACAAATCTGTGACTGGGCGAATTTAAACTGGGGCAAAATTGTTTGCAAGCGTGAAAGGGCGAAAATAAAGCGAATCGAAAATAACCGTTTACAGTATTTGAATTTAAAATATGATACAGGTGTATCTCGAATTGACATCTTGAAGTTTCTCAACAATCTGTCCTATGTCTTATATATATCAAAGTTTGACTGTATCTTATGACTCCCCTTTCCTGCTTAAGTTAATTCTATTCTTCAACATCAAATGAATCAAGGAGATAAACAGTTAAACACTAATTAACAATGCTACCTACATACTAAGATTACATTGCATCATCTTTTAAGAAGGAAGCTACACATTAAGGGGGTATGTCAGGCCTCTTCATGTTAAAACCTGATAGGCATCAAAAAAAGGAAGCATCTGTATCAAAGATATAAACAATTTTCAATATGTGTGTCATTTTTTTATGTTTACTGTGCACAATGCATTCTTTGGCTTCAGAAATAAATTAGCTTTAGTAATACACTTACAATAAATGCACATTTTTCCCATAACAATCTGCAAGCCAAAATATTACTTAACTACAGTACATTAGCTTTGCATTTATAGAACTTTCAATGGAAACAGTGCTCCTTTGGCATTAAATGAATGGCTTTTGTTGTAAATAATGGTCAAGTCCAGTTCTTTGAAAACATAATGTTCAGAACAATAATCTCTACACAACACTCTCCTACCTGAAAGCAAGTACGACAAATGGCACCGGAGATACCTTTGATAAATTCTATAATATATCCATAGACATTGCTCATTACCTCATTGACTGTGAGACTCCTTGTGTAACCATGACAACTAGCTTGCGAGTAGTCTTTGCCCTCTGTCGAAGTGAATTTCCCAGGACAAGACATCCTAAAGCATATGTGTCATTTGTTGCCAAGGTGACAAAAGCTTCCTTATCCCCTGAAAATATACACAAGAAAATTGTATTAATACACATATCTAGCATAACAAAAAATCATCACACTTATCATGCTTATGTACTTAAATTTTGAAGCATTATCATTTTGAAAAATAATTTCCGAAAAGTATAACGTAATTGAATGTACACTTTTTATTCTCCTATGAACTAAAACTTCATTGTTCTGCTTAATACACTGAGAAAATTAAAGTTTTATACAGACAATAAGCATCACTTTCACGATTGACATTTAATTGTCCAAGTTGAAGTTACAGTGTGCTTCTATAAAATTGCAAAATTTGAACTCTGCATATGTAATCATGAGAATGGTTGACTTGCATTATGGCATAATACTTTTGAAATGAGAGAGGAGAAAAATACAGCAATAATGCGATCGAAACCCTGCTGTGTGCCATACTCCTCCCTCCTTAAAGGTCTTTGAAGGAAAGACCCCAACCCAGGCTCATCCCTGGCAGGCATCTCACCTGTCAGTTCCAGGGCATGACACAGCACCAAAGGTAATGGGAGAGGAGAAAAATGCAGTGGACCAGACCAGGATTTAAACGCCAGTGGCCCAGATAGCTCTTTCGGTAGACCACCTGATTGGAGATTCAGGGGGGCCCAGGTTCAAATCCTGGTCTGGTCTGCTGCATTTTTGCATGTTAAAAATGATTTAAATAAACTGTATAGTTGAGCAAACCTTGCCATATTTCTTTGTTATTTAAGTATGCTTTTTTGGCTAAAAGCTTTGGTCATAGGGCAAGACATGGGGTTTCACTAAACAACAAATATATACTGTATTAATTTTAATGTTTCATTTTTTGGTCCAATGTAGGGAAAATCAAACTAAAACTTCATTTGGAGGGAGGGTACAGCCTGTAGGTGCCTATATCAACATTAAAGATATTTCTAAAATGCTTGACTTTAGCCAATTGGAGAGCTAGTATTTAGAAATAAATTATCATGTATTACTGAATAACAAGTATACTACTCCATATTATATTATTGTTACCGGTACTTTGTATTTCTGAACAATTAACAATTAAAGAATTCTAAGAAACAAAAACATTTTCCCCCTTAATCTTGAAGTCATTTTGTGACTAAAAATGTTTGAAGATTATAAATATATCAAATACTGCATGGCTAAACATAGAGTTTATATTAAATTTAACTTCCAGATTGTTAAATTTACTAACATGACAACTACATGTATCATATAAAATGTGGAAAATTTATAAATTTGAGGAAAGTTGTTCTAAAAAGGAAACAAATTTTTGTTAATAATTAACATCACAGTCTGCTACATGGAGAGCTGTATATTACCCAATCTTCTATTCACAAACAGTTACAGCAAACTAACTGTTTAATTTTTAAGAATAATAGATTATTAAGTCTTTTATTTGCCAAAATGGTGATGTTTTAACTATTAATTTACCAAAAAGATGTTTTGTTGGCTTATTCAGAACAATATGGCTTAAATTAGCTTTTATTTGCAAACTTTTGTACTTATTTAATATTTTTTTGTTCTGTAAAGATGAATATTTTATGATTCATGATAAGACTCATTCTAAAACTTTTAAATAGGTATAGCAATCAAACAACCTTTATATTTAACTTTAAACAAACCTTTAGCAAGTGAACTACTGATTTTGCTCATCTTTGGAATTTGTCATTCAGAAATATCAAATATGTAATCACATGGTTTTAGAAAATCTCAGAGTTTTGGAATTATTTTAACGAGTCAATTTCCAAAGAAATAAAGCAAAAATCTTATTGACTATACAATAAAACCCATTTTTTAAAATCTTTCTTTGCATTTTCAGAAAATTAGCCCATGAATTGACCTTTTTTTTCATTTCAGATATCAGGTTTAAATTGCATGATCTTCGTTTTCTTTGCTTCAGTCAGATATTATTTTTATGAACATGTACAGATACACAAGAAATGTTTTCTCAACTTTTATGCCAGTGGCGGATTTAAGGGGGGGGGCACACCCGGCATGCACCCCCCTAAAATTGTTATATTTAACTTAAATCAGTTTAGTCTAGAAAATGTCTACTCCATACACCTCATTTTTACCCTATAAAATCTCTAGATTCCAGGAGCTTCCGAGGCCTTAACCCCCTGGGCCCCCAGGCTTTGCCCTGGACCTACTGGGGGCCTAAAGCCGGCACCCAGACCCCAACCTTTTCTATGCCCCCCCAACTTCAATTCCTGGATCCGCGCCTGCATGCTTTATACAAGTCTTAGTCTGCATAAGATCAGAATTAGAGGTGGGGTTTTTGGATGCATATTGTGAAAATGATCAACACTTCATACTCGATGCTGAATGGACATGATAAAATCAGTAATCCCCTGATATATAAAGCATCACATAATGTGCACTAGCTGTCACATAAAGTGACAAAGACTCTCACAATGAAATGCTTTGTTCATAATGTAGCCTAAACATAATTTTATATGCTCTTATTATTATTATTATTAAATATATATATTTTTAGATGTTGACCTAATTAATGAAGCTTCTCACTATGTTTTAAATATAAAGGTCAAAGGAAGCACTCGATCGAGGTCACCTAAATCTTATACAATAATAAAATGTAAAAAGAACATCCATTTTCCATTCTTTCCATCCAAAGCATATAAAAAACCTTGATTTTTTCACACAGCCGCACGTACCGCGGGCCATCGAGGGTCAATAATGAAAGTAGGCCAACTCATGACATACCCATGTTTTGCACTCGTCTATCACGACTTTAACATCTGACAGTCTACAACTCTCAAAAATTATTTGAAACTAATAAACCTATACCTAATTTAGTCTTTATAAGTGTGAAATTCGTTGCAAATGCTTATGCGAATTATAAAAGTACATACCACGTTCTGCCATTCTCAACACCCTGCAATCTTCCCGGAAAGGAAATCGCTTTCGAGGGACCAATCAGATGCGACCACTTTTGATCACATGACAAAACATGGCAGCCTCCATGAAATCTTTTGCAGATATTTTTACAAGATAAGATTATATTTAAATACGAGAAAGGTATGCAATGGAGAATGAAAATTTGAACAAAATTGTATTAGAAATTAATGCATGGATGCTTGGGGTAGACGTGATGAAAATTTATTTTTTAAAAAACAGTTTGGTTATGTTCTGTGCAAGTTCATTCTTGTTCTTTGTTTATACACTTTAACAATATTTTAGAAACTCATTGTGTTAGATGCAATATTCACATTAGGTGAGTATGAGACTTTCTGTTAATAAGGAAAAAGGAAGATAGTTTTATATGCATGTATAAACTATTTTGCACCTTTTAAAGGGGGAGGGGTTAAGGAAATGTATCGATAAATGTAATTAGGAGTTTTTAATACAATGCATTTACATTAAGTGCAATATGTGTCCAATATATCTGTACAATCTGTATGGTTTCAGGCAGTGATGTCACTCAAACAGTGGAAAAAAGACCCTGGCCCTCCACCAGAGTGGCATGACTGGGTGGAGGAACTATTCTCACCATCGCTAAATCTGGAGAGAGAAGCCATAATGGAAGGGGTAAACAAAGACAGCGCAGTCAAGTCAAAGATAAAAAGAATCTCTGTGTTAGACCCCGAAACTGTGAGAGAAGTGTATGAGAAGGTCCACATGATGTCTGTGATGAATGACGAAATGAAGACAACGGGACTGAAAAAGACAACCATTTCATCAAAACCAAAAATGGCAGATACATCATCAGCCAGTATGTTTTTCTCTACAGTTGAAATCAAACATTTTTATAAATTAATGAGATTGTCTATGTATAGATTCTGTTTTTAATCAGGACTTGACTCATTTCTCTCATTTACTGATTTAGAAAGTGCAGTCATTGGACTGTCATCCCACCGCTGTTGATTTTTTTAATGAAATCCTGGCTTATGATTGGTTGAAGTCTGTCACGTGAAGGACTGTTGGAAAGACTTAAACCTAGTTGTTTAAAAATCAAATTAAACTATGTCAATACAGAGTTATCGTTCTTTTGTAATAACAGTTCACAGAACTTAACAAGTAAAAAGGTAACAAGATGGAACCTTTTTCTTGACTTCCTTTACTGAAAGCCTTCAAAATTGTCAGTATGTTATTGCAGCATGTTATACTCTCAAACTAGATTTCTAAAACAATGTGGCGTAATAATAGGCAAGGTATGAGAGTGGTGAAATAAAGCAGAGAGAAACAATTTTACAATTTAACCACATATAATACATAAATACAATATATTTCATTGATTGGGGTAAATTCATTACATAGTTTTGTAGTGAAAGGGTACAGGATGATATCTGGTTAGGTAATTTCATACCTATCTCGGCTTTGCCTCACAGGTATGAAATTTTCCAACCAGGTTTGCTTCACCAGGTATCATCCCATACCCTCTCACTATAACACTACGGGTAACTAATAGAATTCCCCCAAACAGGTGAATCCAAGAGCCTATACAGGTAGTTCAGAGATGCTTTGTGTATGTTAAAGTTTTCAATGTTATATGATTTTCCCAAAAATACATTTTATAAATATTTCTTGAATTTATTTTTCAGGTAAAGAAGAGAGGTCCAAGAAGACTATAGAAGTAGATTTAGACGAGTCTTGTGTATGGGACTCTGATGAAATTTCTGTCTTACGTAAAGTGTTTAAACAAGTTAAAGAGGAAAACATGAAACTCAGAGTTAAAAACAAAGAAACTGAGAAAAGAAATATTCAGTTGGAAAAGAAATACAATTCTCTTGTGAAGGAATTGGATGACAAGAATTTCAAGCTCACAGAAGTTGTAAGAGCAAATTCAAGATTAAAAATTCACTGTGAAAATTTACAAAAAGAACTGGATGAAACAAATGTTAGAATGACTGCCATGGAGCAGATTTTTAAAGAAATAAATGAAGAAAAAGGGAAAATGGTGAAAGACGTTCATGAATTAAGAATCACAGCAGACAAAGAACGGATGGAGAAAAACGCCATTCAACTTAAGCTAGAAACAATACAGCATCAGATTGCTAGTGAAAAAATTGCTCTGGAGGAATCGATAAAAATACAATGCCGGGACCAAATCGCAAACCTTGAGAAAAATGTTATAGATTTAACAAAGGAACTGAATAAAGAGATAAAAGCTCATAAGACTACTAAACGTGGACTTGACCACCTTAGAAACCATTTCGCTAGTCTACCTCTCTCCCACATAGTGCCACCCAATGCTGTCAGCAGCGACCAAATTAGTCAGTTTCAATATTAAATGTTTTTATGATGTAATAAATCATTTTTGTACAAAAATTATAATAAAGGTATGAAAAGAGATTGTTCTTTGAAATTGTTTCCCAAGCTAAGAATGTGCTTATTGATAATACTGGACAGCCTTGACTATGTTGATCATACTGATTGTTTGTGTTTCAACAATTTTATTGCACTGAAATAAGTATACTGTAACAGCAGATTTAGAATTTACTCAATGATATATTGACCTTTAAGGGCAAAGCAAGAATAAGATTGCATTGATTTTATTCTGAATCAAAAGTCTGGGTATAAGGCAACCCCCCAAAATACCGGTAATTTATAGTTTCTCAGGCACTGCAAAATTAGGCCAATCACAGCTAAATGAATGAATTTTATTGCAATATTTAAAAGGGAAAAAAACTCTATTTTTTTTCTTCATAATAATATGCATTTGTAAAAAATGGAGACCATAAAAAATAAACTTTTTCCCACAAAATTTCAATTGTGTAAATGTGGTGCTTCTTTGTCTTTTTAAAATCCACTGTATATGTAGCAGTGATAGCTCAGTAATATGGGCTACCAGTTCAGTGCACTAGAGAAATCAATTCCAGTCTTCTATTTTATGATGTACATGTACATTTATTATCAGTATCTACACCTTTAATCTTACAGGTGTTTAATTTTTTGTGAAACATTACTATGGTATTGTACCTCCTAGGAAAAACAGTCATTAATGTTACAATCTGACAATTTTGTATTTCAAACTAAATGAATAAAAATCCTATGGTTGTGTTTGTAAAATCTGACCAGCTATGTTCAGCCAACCAAATCATTGACATTTAAACCATAAATGTTTTGTACAAATGATTCCTGCAGATCACATGCCAAATACACTCATCTTCTCTATATTCCTGATGAGTCTCCATGGCACCTGGTATTTGATATTTTAAGAATTTGCACTGCATGCTCCTGATTTTTACTGTATAATGGACTTTTGAGCTTGAATACAATTTGTTAATTAGCTCCATATATTTCATTATTATTAACACTGCATGAAGCACATTAAAAAAAAGTACACAATTAATAAGCAAAGGAGAAATGATTTGTACAATTTTTTTCGTATCAATTCACAAAATTAACACAATAGTTCTGATGCCACACAGAAACAAAATAGAGATAAAAATCACAATTTTGTGCAAAATGCTAATGCAAGGGTGATGAAGGTTTTTACCGGGTAATCATTTTTGAACACCTAAATTGAAAGAATCAGCATATGTATGATCAAAATTTTATAACATATATTGTACGTTGCAAATCGTTAAGATAAATACAAATTTGCTTCAGTAAGGTATAACAAAATATTGATCATTAGAGAGTTATAGATAAGACTTTTGGCCTCTCTGAGCCCCTAATTTGAGAAGTCAGCACCTTCAATCTGTGAATGTGGATGTGTATATGGTCTGGTTTTATTGGGTTTTGGTTTATTTTAAGATTGTCCTTTAATCCATAAACTAGCTAGCATAGATCAGTTTTAAGCTTTGGATTAAGTGATATGAAGAAAATTCTGTGAAAATGTATGTGATTGGAGAAGTCAATCCTTGAATTCAAAATACTGTGAAACAAGAAGTGTTTATAATGTATCAAAATGAGATTGTGTTTAGATTGTGTTTTAGATGTTTTCAAACACTTGTGGATTATAATTTTAAAATTCAAATTTAGTGGTTTATTCATGATTTGTTTGCTGATTTGTTAGTAGTTTGTTAGAGTGTTTTGTTAGCCTCATTTGCATGTGATTTGCTATACTATTGGTCAAAACACAGTGCTTTGTAAGTAGTTTGTTAGAGTGTTTCATAAGTAGTTTGTTATAGTGTTTTCAAAGTAATTTGTTATAGTGTTTTGTTAGCTCATTTGCATGTGTGTGTGTGTGTGTGTGTGTGTGTGTGTGTGTATAGTATGTGTGTGTGTTTCATTTGTGTGTGTGTGTTAAGATAAATACAAATTTGCTTCAGTAAGGTATAACAAAATATTGATGTGTGTATAGATAAGACTTTGGCCTCTCTGAGCCCCTAATTTGAGAAGTCAGCGCCTTTTTCTTGATATCAAATGAAAGGTCTCGTGATTTGGAAGACTTTTTGTTCAACACTTATTCAGAGATTTTTATTGTTATGTATATATGCTAAATGGAAATATTTAGGGTCCATCGCCAAGTCCTTAATTGAGTTTTACAAAAATAAGGCGTGACCATATTCCCCGTTTTTGAGATATAAGGCATAAAAAGATTCAACATCTGGCCCCTTGTGACCCCTAATTACGTAACACATGATCAAAATTTTATAATATGTTGTTGCAAATCGTTAAGATGACTACTTTTCCTTCAGTAAGGTATAAACAAAATATTGATCATTAGAGAGTTAAAGATAAAAGACTTTTGGCCCCTCCGAGCCCCTAATTTGAGTAGTCAGCCCCTTTTTCCTGATATCAAATAAAAGGTCTCATAATTTTAAAGACTTTTTGTTCAACACTTATTCAGAGATTTCTTTTTGTTGTTGAGATATGCTAAATGAAAAAAAAAAAAAAATAGGGTCCGTCGCTGCAAGTTCTTAATGGGTCCGTTTTACAAAAATTCAAAGTTTGAATATTGTTTTATAATTAGCACATTATTCTGACCATCTTTGTTAAATATTGCTTATCAAAATATTCCCCATTTTTGAGGTATAAGGCATCAAAGATTTGATATTCTCGCC